TGAGTCTAGATTATAATGAAATTGAATTTTCTTATCAGGAAACAAAAAAGATAGAATCTTTAATTAAGTAAAAAAATATTTATATGAGATATTGCAAATGAAGCTGGAAAATTTGAGATAAATGAAAGCTTGGATAATATCTTATCATTCCTACAGTAAAATAATACTAAAGAAAATATTTTGAAACTATATAGATCATTGGTTCTCCTTTACACAAAAAAGCGGAACCCAAACGAGGCATGGAGCACATGCATTTTTGCCATTTTTGCGCAGAAATATTTATATGAGATATTGCAAATGAAGCTGGAAAATTTGAGATAAATGAAAGCTTGGATAATATCTTATCATTCCTACAGTAAAATAATACTAAAGAAAATATTTTGAAACTATATAGATCATTGGTTCTCCTTTACACAAAAAAGCGGAACCCAAACGAGGCATGGAGCACATGCATTTTTGCCATTTTTGCGCAGCACTCAGCAGTTAGCAGCAGGCAGATCTCTGTGAGATCAAGGTCAGTTTGGTGTACATAGTAAGTTCCAGTCCACTGTGGCTAAGGAAAAACCCTGTCTTAAAAGGCAAAAAAAGAACAGTCAGTGTTCTTAACTGCTGAGCCATCTCTCCAGCCTCATAATTACTGTTAAACCAGGAAGTTGACATTGGTGTAATTCACAGATCTTATTCATATTACATGCATTTATGTGTGTGAATAAATGTACACAATTTTATCACAAGTACAGATTCTTGTAACTTAGTCATAGTCAAGATATAGAAGTATCCCATCACAATACAGCTCCTCTTTTACTACCCCTTTATAATCTAGTCACCCCTCACTCATCTTCTCTAAGCCCTGACAACCATTAATGTTTTCTCTAAAATAGTTTCATGTTGAGAACGTTATACAAATTGAATCATGTAGTGTATAAACTTTTGTGATTGGCTATTTTACTCAGTACACTGCCCTTAAGATCCAGCCAAAAAGGAAGGGAACAGATAGGGGGCAGGTGGCACAGAGAAGGTAATAGGTGTTAATATGTTTAATGTATATGATATGCATGTATGAAAATGCCTCAGTGAAGTACATTATTTTGTATAATTAATATATACTAATAAAGTTTTTAAAAATCCCAAAGAGAGAGAGAGAGAAAAGGCAAGTTCTGTAACAAAAGGAGAAGGTGTAAATGAGCTTTTTACTCTCTGATATGCATTCATTTTTAACCTCTTGCTACAATGGGAGTTAGTAAGCAAAGGTATTCTGTAAATTTCATGCACTGTTTACTAAATATATAATTATGTTTGATGACAGAATGCTGGTTACAGATGAAAAATATGACCTCTATTTAAAACTGGCTAGCGAATGTCTTACACTGAAGAAATCTAATAGGTAGCTTATTTTGAATGGATCATTGGAAAAATTCGTTTTATATTTACAAATTTTTGTAAAAATTCTTGAAAATTTTGTACATATATACAATGTATAGTCATCATATTCATGATTCATCACAATTCCTTTCCATTTCCCTCTCTTTCTGACCCCTTCTTTCTTTCAACTAATCCTTCTACTTTTATGGAATACATACTATATGTATTCACCCACTGAATTTAATGAGGATATCTTGTATGAATATATGAGTATGTGTAAGAGTTATAGAGCACAGGCAACATACCAGAGGCTACATCACTGAAGAAGTTGGCAATGACACCCTTCCCCAGCAACTACTAACTGCCAATAGCTCCTCATTGGACTACCCTCTCATCAGCCAGAGATCCAATGAGCCCTGACGAAGGATCACTTTTGTATAGGCTCAGTGCTTGTATCCACAGCTGCAGTGTGTTAATGATTACAAAGTCAATGTCTTATCCAGAACACAATATATCATCACATTATTTTCAGTTATCCAGTTCTTACATTCTTTCTGCTCCCTCATCTACAATATTTCCTGAGTTTTAGGGGAAGTGACACAGCTTTCTCATTTGAGACTGAGTACTCAAAAGTCACTTGTTTCTGCAGTTTGATCAATTAGGAATCTCTTCATAAACCACTATTAATGAAAAAGAATTTTCTCTGCCTCTGAGTCTGAAGATCAGCATTAATCTTTTGTTACAGACAGGGATATTTAAAAGACAGTTTGACTAAACTGTCATTTAACAAAACAAAGTCATCGACTCCCCTTCTAAGGCATGTGAGCTCACCAGCAACAGGCTTTTGACTAGGCTTACTGTAACACGTATGTATATCCTCCAGTGGAGCAGTTCTCAAATCCGATCAGAATTTAACTGATTCCCCCCAAATAGACATGCAATACTGTACCAGTGGGAATATTTTCCACAGCAGACTGGTGTTGCAGCACACAGGGTCCAGAGCCTTACAAGATTAATAATTCCCCCTCAGCCGTCTGCACATCAACTTGTGGACTATGAATATGAGCCAGCAGTGACAGAGCTTCCGGCTCATTTCCAAATTTATTTCTCTATTTCCTGTTTCATAAAGTGTGGTGTCTTCAACTGTGAATCTTAACACACAGTTCTGGTGGTTAACCAAGAGTAATGGCACCAGCTAGTGTTATTTTGGAGGCCTCTAGGTTCTCCCTGGCCAGGAACTTAAAGGGAGGTGTCACTAACGTCTGGTAGCAGCATTATCCACCCATGCAGAGAATCTCTGCTCAAACTATTTTTCAAATTACATTAAATTAGAATTAAATCATGAAGTGGGAGTTTTTATGTAACATTATGATGGATTTTTGGTTAACTCCCCCTCGACATTCACATTTCCTCCATTTTTTAGCTCTGTCCCCATTTAAAACTTTCCGTGTTAATATTTCCCCTTGTACTTTCATACCACAAATGTTTACTACCTTCCACTTTTAAGAGCTTCTCCTCTAAACTTCATGGCTCCTTTCTTCCTTCCTGTTTTCTACAGGCACTCACTCCAACTAAAATATAGATTTAAAATTTCAAAGCTAAACTCTAAATGTAAGAGAGAGCTTATGTTCTTTTGGAACTGGGTTGCCTGACACAATTTAATATTCTCTAGTTCCATCAATTTTCCCCAAAATTTCCTAACATCATGTTTTACAACTGAATAAAATTTCACTGTGTACATGACATGATTATTTAAGTAAAGGAAAGAATATCCAAATCAAAACAAAATGAAAAATATTTTAAAATATTCTAGATAAAAGAATAAACTTTTCAGTAATGAATTCCAATAAAATACAAACAAGATAACATACATAATAACAAAACAGTAAGTATATATATATGTGCACATATATACATGTATATATGCATGTATATTTATGTGCACATATACAAATGTGAAAGAAATATAGTAAAACTCTGAAGAACATGGAAGGATGTTTTATTCACATATAGCATGAATGAACACTTGTGCAACTTATAGAGAAAGCAAGAGAATGAGTTCACAAAAATAAAAATAGAGGTACCTAGAAAATTCCAGAACCAGATGGGGCTACAAGGAGACCCTGTCTCAAAAACACCAAATAAAAAAAAAAAAAATAGAGCAAGATCATGACAGAGGTAAACTAATTTTGCATATATACCAAAAGAATTCTGTCGACACACCATAACACAAAAATAAGCATGGTTACAGTAATAATTAAATAGAACCTGATTAGTTGTCTGTCAAGTGATGAATGGATAAAGAAAATTGGAGCACATATACACTGTGGAATTTTCTGCAGCTATAGAGATGAAAGGTATCATGACATTTGAAGGGAAATGGATGGTATTGTAGAATATTATACTAAGAAAAATAATCAAACCTGAATCAAAGACAAATTCCATCTATTGTATCATATGTGTTAATTTTAGATTTAAAATATTTAAGTATATTTTATTCATGTATAGAATATATAATATACAATTTATATTATATAACTAAATAATATGTGTGAAAGAAAAACTATAGGTGAAGAAATGACATATAACTATTCTTTATTCACTGCTGGTGGGAATGAGCAGGAGTGTGTGCGTGTGTGTGTATGTGTGTGTGTGTGTGCCTGCGTCTGTTTGTGTGTAATGTAAATTGCTCTGTGACCAAAGCATGAGGCAAGATTTCTTGAATCCGATTTTTAAAGCACAAAAATCAAGGTAAGGTAAAAAACAAGTAGCTTGATTAATAGAATGATTTATGGTTGATTTTGTGATCTGCATTGTATTTTGTTAAACACAGTGTCTTGGTCTTTATGTCTCCAGCCTAAATTAGATGTTGTATTCCTTTCAGGCTTGTTCTGAGTTCTGTCTCTGACTATTTTGCGGCTATGTTTACAAGTGATGTTTGTGAAGCCAAGCAAGAGGAGATCAAGATGGAAGGCATAGACCCGAATGCTCTTTGGGATCTTGTTCAATTTGCATATACAGGTATCATAAAATAATTATAATATCACATTGATGCCACATTTATTTTACCATTAGTTTTATTCTTTCAAAGCTTAAGAAAAGCTGAATTTTATCTTTAAACTTTAGGTTGGTAACTACATGATGGGTAAAGATAAGACTAACTTTTTACTTTGTGAAATTACAACTATATAGATGTATTAATTTATACAATTCCTTAAGGTATTAAATATGCTGATATAATCTATCAATTCTATATTTGAAAATATAAAATCTATATATATAAAGGAGTGAGCTTTGGAAAGTAGTAGTGAGGAAAGCGGCTAAAAAATAGAAATTTTTCTGAGTCCATAATTGTTTACAACATTGAGCAGGAATAATTCTGTTATTAATTGTCAATGTTATTTTAAAGTTAAAATTCTTTATATGACATTTACTATATACTTGGCAACTTGTCCTGACCCGCAGCAACTTAGTTGGAACAGACATAATTATATCAAGAGATGTGATTGAGGCTTATAGTATTTTTCCTAATCTACTATATTTATATATTCTGATAGTCTTTGTAATATATTATGTGAAATCAAATAATTTTAGAAATTTAGTGTTTATTGAATGCTGTTCAATACAAAAGTCAGAGTTATAGCTAAGGATAATAAATTAATAAAGAAGTCAGCTTTTTCCTCTCTCTCTAGATGCTCACAGTTCAAGTACATTGAAATGTTGAAAAGAAAAATTTTTATATAATGCCTCAGTAATTAGGGAATCAGAAGGCAAAGTGTGTTTTTCAAGACATGATTAGAGTTTTCAATAATTTAAAAATTGTCCTTTCAAAATTAATAATGACCTATAGAGTATGATTTGTGTCTCCCAATGTTTTCAGTGTGGATCCATTCCATTCACTGGGTCCTCCAAGATCCTCAACCCTGTAAGACATTTTCTTTCCCCCTTCCAGCAGCCTTTAATTGCCAGAGATTCCTTAGACTGTGTTGCAGTTTCTTGCCCACTAACCCATGTCTATGCTGAAATTTTTTCTGGTCGGGTTTTTATAGGATTTTCACATGCTGCCTTCATTGCTATGAGTTCATATGAGTGAATAACCAGGTGTCTGCAAGATTCTATTTCCTATGGTCATCCAACCCTCTAGTTCTTACAATCATCCCATCATCTCTTCCACAATGATCCCTTGAAGGCAGAAGTCTTGAAAGGCAAAAGTTTGTATTATGTATCCTATTCAGGGATAAGTACTCCACAGTCTATTGTTCTCTGCTCATTGGATAATTGTTGGTATCTGTGTTAATCAACATCTGCTATTTAAGGAAACTTCTCTCTGGTGAGAGTTAAGAGATGCATTCACCCTAGTGTAAAGGTTGCATTGAAAATATGTCACTTCAGTTTAAGCATCTCATAGACACTATTCTCTGTGTTTGACCAGCTCTGGAACTCTGTAATAGACTCCATCTGTTGCCTGAAGAAGCTGCCTTGATGAGGGGTGAAATGTCAACTTGTCTTTAATATGGGGATGTGTTTCCCTAAATTTTTCCCTTCTGGCTGGGGGACCCGCCCTCACTCAGGGTCTCCTAATCCTGATGCAGATTGACAAACTAAGAAAAGAAATTCTATTTGAATTTTGCATAATTTATACGATACCTGGGAAAGGGGGTGACTTACAAAGACAGGGGATCTCAGAGGCTTATATTTGGAATGCCCACCACCAGCTCATCATGTCCCGTGGTTTCCATCAGCTTTGCATGCTACAGCTTTTCAGCTCGCCTTGCTCTCCATGGAACCCCCAGACAGGTAGGGCTCTCACACTGGCCGTTTGCTGCTGCTCTATTCCAAAAAATGGTGACTGCCCCATTCACAGCTGTGCTCAAATGTCCACACCCAAACATAAGTCTGGTGGCTTCATGACAGCCACCCAAAATGGCAAGAGATCAGCCGACTCGTGGCTTTCCTGGCTTATATATCCATAGCTCCTCGCCTTTACGGGCTTGACTCCTTCTGCAGAATGTGGGAAGGAGGTGGGGCCATGGCTTGTCTTCATAGGGTCAGAGGAACTTCCGGATCACAGGATGCATACTTAGAATAAAGTAAGAAGTTTCCTTGGTGTAGGGATGTGCCAAAGTAGATTTTTCTCTAGGATCTATGAGCTTTCCAACCATGTATTTGGCTATGTTTATAGTACCACACATAAGCTTCATCTTCCCATTGGGCAGGCCTTAATTTCAATTAGACAGCTGTTGATAACACCCCACCCCCAAAAGAAGTGCCACTACTGCACCAATGGTGACATTTGCTAGGCCAATCATTATTGTTTATTAGGTTTCACAGTTCAGGAGGACCACAGTACAACTGCTCCAAGTCCTGTATCCAAAGTGTGGCCTTTCTTCAGCAATTGGGACTTATCTTCTAGTTCTGGGTGGCAGTCAAGTGCTGTAGCATTAGCTTGTGTTATTTTGGGTGTCTCTTGGACTTCCAACAAGTGTAAGGGAGGTGTCTCTTGCCTGGCACTGTGTTTTTTGTTATAAAACCTTCATCTATACACATGTACGTATATATTTATTTTACATGTATTTTTCATTAGGACTTTGAAGTAATAACATTTCCCTTTTGTTTTTCATACCATTCAAGTATTACTTCACTCCCCCATATGCCCCTCCCTGTTCCCTTTTCCCCTATTTCCCCCTTAACAACATTTGTCTCTTGAGCTCCTACTTTCCCTTTATTCCTATTGTTTATTTCTGTTTCCCAAGCTCCTGTGTTTACATTGGGAAATATACTCACATTTAGGGATTTGTAACTAAGAGCCACAAATAGTAGACAACATATATAACTTGTTTATTTCCCTTTCCCATTTACCTCACTGAATTCTACTGTCCATACCATGAATCTACCACCCTCCATGGGTATTTTTTCTTGACCTCTCTAGATTTTCCAATTGAAGTACGCATATCTAAGATTTCAAACCCAGCATCCAGGTATAAGAGAGTTCATATGACATTTTTCTTTCTGAGTCTGGGTTACCCAACTCAGCATGATTGATTCCTGTTCCATCCAATTACTTGAGAATTCCATAATTTCTTTTCTTTTAAATAAGCTAGGTAACATTTCATTGTGTATACATATACCAAATTTTCATTATCAATTCATCTTTTGATAGACATCTAGGTTGTTTCTAATTTCTAGATTTATGTAAAGGGCAACAATGAGAATTGATGTACAGGAATTTCTGTAGTGGAATATAGAGTCCTTTGAATATATGCCAAAGAGTGGTATGGCTATGTCACATGGGAGAGCGATGCCTAGCTTTTTGAGGAAACTTCCCATCGATCTCTCTAGAGGCTGTACCAGTCTTCTTTGTACCAGCAGTGGGTGAGAATTCCTTTTTCTCTACATTTTTGCATGCATTTGTCTTTATTCATTCATTCATTCATTCATTCATTTATTCATTTATCGGATCTTAGCAATTCTGAGTGGGGTAAGACAAAATGTCACAGGGATTTTACTTTTTAGTTCCCTGATGACTAAACATGTTAAAAGCTTTTAAAGTATATCTCAGCCATTTGTATTGAACAACAATTAGGCTGTTCTTTTTGGTGTTTAGTTTGCATTCTTCATATGTTCTAGGCACCAACCCTCTATAAGACATATAGCTGGTAAAACTTTAATTCTCTTTGGTAGCTTACTATATTACTTTGTTGCACAAAAGCTTTTAATATCATGTGGTCACATCTGTCAATATTTGTACTTAAATTAATGCTTTCACTATGGAAGTTCTGTTCAGAAAGTTGTTTTCTGTTCCCATAAGTTCCAGTGTATTCGCTACTTTATTTTCTACTAGATTCAGGGTATCAGGTCTTGTACTGATGTCCTTGATTTACTTCTAGCCGAGTTTTATGCATGATGAGAGTTAGGCATCTAGTTTTGTTCTTTGACATGTTGCTCTCCAGTTTGGTCAGCACCATTTTGAGTATGTTATCTTTTATTCAAAGTGTATTTGCGGATCTTTTGTCAAAAATCAGTTGGCTGTAAATCTGTGAATTTAAATTTGGGTCTTAAATTCTATTCCACTCTTCAATGTGGCTGTTTTTATTATAACTCTGAAGTATAAAAAAAAATGCTCCCTGGAATTTTCTCATGCTTCAAGATTATTTTGACTATCCTGGCCTTTAAATGTTTCTATATGAAATTTGCATTCTTTTTTCAATTTTTGTAAAGAATTTCATTGGAATTTTAAAGGCTATTGCATCAAATTTATAGATTGCTTTTGGTAGGATGACCATTTTCTGATTGGGTGGTCTTTCTTCTGGTATCTTCTTCAATTACTTTCTTCAATATCTTAAAGTTTTCATTATACAAATCTTTCAAGTTATGATTAGATTTATTCCAAGGTATTTTGTAGTTATTGAGGCTATCATGAATAGGATAATTTCTTTGATTTCTTTCTGGGTATGTTTGTTGTTGGTATATGGGAAGACAACTGAATTTTGGCTGTTAATTTTATATCTTGCTACACTGCTGAATGTATTCATCACCATTAGGAGTTTTCTGGTGGAGATTTTAATATACAGAATCATATCATCTACAAATAAGCATACTGTGATTTCTTCCTTTCAAATTTGTCTCTCCATCTTCTTTGTCTTATTGCTCTAGCAAAGAATGCAAATACTTCACTGAACATGAATGAATAAATTCCACATTGTTGTCTTTTTCTTGATTTTAATGGTAATACTTTGAATATATCTCTATTTAGTATGATGTTGACTGTAGGCTATTGTCTATTGCCTTTATTATTTTGACATATATACCCTGTAGTCCTACATTTTCCATGTCTTTTATCATAAATGGATGTTGGAGTTTGCAAAGGACTCTTCCATCCAGTAAGATGATCATGTGGTTTCAATCCTTGAATATGTTCATGTAGGGGATTACATATGTTGAAACATCCTTGAATCTCTGTAATGAAGCCAACTTGATCACTGTGGATAGTATTTTTGATATGTTTTGAACTCAGGGGGCAA